ATGTGATTTTGCAGCGACTCGTGGAATATAAAGAGCAGAAATAAAATATACACAAACGGCATAGTTATTGTTTCTAATTGCGCGCGCCTACAAGTTCATTGACGGCTGGATGATATTCCACACTCGTGCTGGGTGTTAAAGAAAAGAGCAACGGATGCCCAGACCGATGTATATAGAAAATTATCTTGTGTGATATACAATCGCTCTAGCTGGCGAACAATATATAAAAAGGAGAGCAAGATGCGATGAGATCAGCCAGCGCGCAACCAATTCCCACAGATATAAAATAATCAATTAGTTAATTCCACATCTCTCGAGTCGTGAGAGCTTCTCTTTATTGGGTCACGCCGGTCTGCTAACCGTGTAGATGCAAAACCAGCAGGAAGAAGAAATGATAAATTTCACTCAGATTCGCATTCACAATTCACACAGCTATTATATTATTGTCCTAACGGGGGGAAGATCGCGACAAAACGGATCAATTTGCTGTGTGACAGTTGCCGGTCGCTAATGATTTTTATCCGAAAGCGACTGATTTGCATATAAAGAAGGGACGCCAGATGCTTGAAAGGGTTCCGCCAAAATTCGATACACCCGCCTTTTGTCCGGATGCACTCGCTGATGGTAATGACATTTTGACAAGCAACCTGAGCCCTGAATGTAATATTTTTTTCTGTACCTCGATGCAAAACGTTATTAATGGATATGAAATTTTTCGCGCCGCTTTGCCCGATTTCGGAGAGTGTAACAGTTTTTCTGCTCTCCTTTGAGGGAAGGGTAAAAAGCAAGGCGTGTGTGTGTATCCGATGCTGGAATATAAAAGCTAGCCGTGTACAAAAGGATGGTTACAATAATTTATCTTATTCCAACAGCGGCCAAATCTCCTCTCTGACTTCTTCCACGACTTTTTTTTAATACTGGCTGCAAGTATCATGACATAGTGTGTGCGAGACCATGAGGAATGAATATAAAAAAAATGATCCATCAGATTTCTGCCGCCGCCGCTGCCGGTGCTCTCTCTTGCTTCCTCCATTATATTTATACGCACATAAAAAGGAGCACGCCTGCTTGATTGATGATCCTTCCTCGCTCCTTTCTTGACCAGCACTCTCTGTGATATGTAAAAATCTGCCCTTTCCACCCAACCCCTTTTTGCAAAATACGTCCTCCCTATATATGCGCGCAACCCCTTTTCCTATTTAAATCTCGCTGCTAATGGATTTTTACGCACTAGACTGATCAATTTGCTTAATCATCGGCCGTCGTCGCGTCGATGGAAATTTTCGCCAAACATCTGCACATGCACGCACGTGATAGTCATTTATTTCAATCAGGCCCCGCCGCAACTCGAATCAAGGTCGTACTCCGATCGAGATTAAATATGAATAATTTCGAGTGAAAAAATTTAATAAAAATTAAAACGCTCCGAGAGTGTATCAAAGTTGCGATAACACGGCTCAAGAAATTTGTGCTTTTAAGCAAAAATAAGCGGATGATCGAGAGTTTAGAAATATAAAATGCCCTCTTCTGCGCACATGAAATTTATCAGAGGCAAAAAATGAGTTGACCTTAAACGTCTATTAAGAAAATAACGCAGTAGCGCTCTCTTAACACGAGTTTTTTTTTCTATATATGTATGGAAGATCCTCACATTCACCCGAGCAGCACGCATTTATGTACACTTTTACAAATATACATATTAACAGAGTGTAATAGGAGATGAAGGATTTGACCTCATTTTTCGTGTATAATTTTATATTCATAAAACATTTTTCATTCTTGTCAAACGTATGTACATAAATGCTAGTGCATACATTTATATAAAAAAAAAACGTATACCTGCATGGGCCGCCTAAAAGAAAAGCGGCGCCTGTGCACATAAGTAAAGATAAAAGATTTTTTAATTCGTGCTTTTAAATGGAACTTTTTACTGTATTCATAAAAGTAAAATCTTTTGAGATGGAAAAATACAAAAAGAAAGAGAGGAGGAAGGAGCGCCATATAGTATTATTTGAATGTGACTCGGCCGTCTCCGCCGCCAGTCTCTCTCTCGCTTGCTCTCTGTTCTCTCTGTTTTATTTTTACATACATCTTTTGGCCCCGAAGCAACATTTTATACAAAAGAATAAAAATGACATTTTAAAAATTGCTTTTGTGCTCAAATAAAGGAGAGGCTAAATTGCAGCTTATTGAATAAAATTGGAGCAAAGCCCTCTCGTTTCTCTCCCCTCGCTGAGCACTGCACGTTCCAGCGCCGCGGAAAAAGAGGAAGAAAGGAAATAAAAACGCGAGAGATCACTTTTATTTATCGGTTTTGCGGTGCATTTTCCCTTTATGTGAATAAATAAACCGAGAATAGCACCTCCTTTTGTTGAAATGCTAACAAAAACGCGCTCTCGAAAATTGGCTCACTCAGTGCAAAACTTTTTCTCGCCGCCACACTTTCCACAGTTATAATACTTTTTTTTATAATATACACACACTGGAAACCCGTGATTGCGCACGATTTAAATAAATCGGGCGTGTCATTCGTAACTTTCGGGAGACATTATTATTCCGTATCCATTGTTGTGAGGAAAACAAACTCGTGCCAAAGGAATTATAATAATATTCATAAATAAAAAATTACTCTATCACACCCAGCAGGCGCGGTACAAAAGAGAAACAGCAGGTGCACACACACATATTCAGCTTTCCTCGCAGGCAGAGTGACATTTTTTTTTCTTCCGTCCCTCGCACAATTATAATTTTGCAATTCAGGTCGCCGGCAGGGAATTTACATTTAAATGCATATTATACAAATTCCTTTGTGCGACGCCAAACCAATTTTTGCGTCAAATATGGCCCTTGATGAATAATCGTCACCACGGACGCGGGCCTCTTCCAATTTCGGCGCTAATGACGTCGCCTTTATCGAGCGAACAAGACGAATTTGTGTGCAAATCCCAGAAAAAAGTGGCTGAAAGAAAGAGAGAAAGAGTTGAAAAGCGGGAGGCGAACCATCCATCCATTATGTTATTCTGTGATGTGTAGCAAGGAGCACCGAGGAAAGAAAGGAGATGGTAAAAGGGCCGTGAAATTGCTTTTTCTCTCTCTATTTGAATGTGTGCATTAAGGTGTGATGCCAGGCTAGAATAAAGTAAAGAACGAAAAGGTGTGTGTGATATCGTGCCATCAACAGCTAGCTGCCGACTGTAATGGCTTCTTTTTGACAACAAATTGGAGAGAAGCTCTCTCGGAATGGAAAATAAATCACTGTAATTTCTTAGCGGCAGCCGCCGATACATGCAGGAAAAAGTATAAAACGAGCGCATTATCGACACACACACACAATTTATATAAGCGACGACGAAATCCAGTAGCTGCTCTTTTAAAGATACTTTTTCTGTAAAAAAGTAGTTTTGAGATAGCAGCGCGCTTCAATCACTGTCACACACGGCGGGTATTATGGTTTCTTAAGAGATTGGATAGGCGGAGTTGAGACACTAGAGAGACCCAGAGCTATTTAGCCGCTCTTCCTTTTTTTTTTAAATTTAAAAGTTGTTTTTCCAAGTAGTTTACCTCGCAAGTTTTTCTCTTTCCTTTGTCATCCGTCTACAAGAGAAGAGAGGAATTTAAATGTATACAAATAAAAAGTGCTCTTTTGTGACTCTCTGCTGTGCTCACAAAGTAGGTAAATTGGAAAACAATAGAAGAATGTTGTGTTGTTTGCTATGAAGTTGAAACCTTTCACATTTATCTTTTTTTAAGTAATACAATTTGTCTTCCAATTCTTTTTGAGAATTCAATTTTACCCTGCCGCCGCGAGCTCCTTTTGTTTACGACTCCGCAGAGAATTCCGCCGCTTTTCTCTGTTTTATTTAAAGAGTTTTGCGGCGAGATTTATGTCTCAATTAATTAGCTCCCGCGCAATTCAGACGAATCCAAAGTTAAATCGCTCGCCTAATGCACTCTATTTTTGGGAATCGTTTGTAATTTCATATACAAAGAGACTTGCTTATATTTTGTCATCGCTGTATAGACGTAAAAGCCTCAACAAAAAATTAATTAACACCAGAGATAGTCGGACACAAAAAGTATAAAACTTAGACGCGCCTCTAATAAAAGACGCAGTTTTTCCACGAAATTTAACTTATAAAAGAAGTTTTACGCGCTTCACTCCCGGATTATTATTTTTATGTTCCTGTTTTTTTCTGCCTTAAGAAGAGCGAGCTCTTTCGTTTTTATTTTCCTCTCTTATGAAAACTAACACCGCACATCATTAATTTTGTAAGAAGACAGCGAGCGCCTTGGTCGTCTCTTTTAAATATAATCGCCACTTTTCTTCAGCAGCTCCGCTCGCAGGCATCAGTATTTTAAAAATACGTTTTATAATAACCTCTGAAATTCAAATGTGGTCAAATAATGTTCTTTTGCCAACAAAATTCTCCGCGCGCACGACAGCAGCCGGCCGCGACGCCACTTTGGCAAACATAAAGCACGATCTGTTTCTCGACTCGAAAAAAATTATAAAAAGCTGGCATTATTTTATTATACACACTCACAGCACACACGTTAGACGAAATGGAGCGAGGGAATAATTTTTATGCGTGCGGTGTACTTTAAAGACGTCGCGAGACAAAACTATTTTAACACCGAGAGCTGAGCGGAGTTGCCAGAAAACGGCCGCCGCCGAGAAAGAGACACACTTTTTGGATTATCTGGCATAAAATTGGGATGCTTTAAAAGAAATAAAAAAAAAACTTGGGTTCATTCTGAACAAGGAATATCTGCTAAAAAACTGACGATATCGTTTCCAGGGAGCCCCTTATTGTCCCTAAAAACAATTCCCCTTATAGTTCTGAAAATTATTTTTCCTAAATCTTTCCCAATTGGATGCAATTTTGGTTTAAAAATTATTTCTACAAAAATTTACTTCATTTTTTTTAATTAATTTAATGTTTCAAAGAAATCTCAAGGAATATGATCTAATTTTTTTTTTCTTTTTTAATCTGTTTCAGATGATGACTAGTCCGGCTGAGGTCCCGTCACCCCTTCGGCCGGTCCTCCTTTTCTAAGACTGCCCACGCCATACCCTGAGCACACCACTCTCACAATGTCGGCCAGCACCCTGACAAACCCGAGCAGCGGCTCGACCCTGCCAGCCGCGACCTCGCCCTCGGAAGACTTCCTCCTGTGCCGACGCACCACCAACAACAACAACGACGAGGGCGAGCCAAGCCCCGCGAGTCGCAAAGCCGCCCTGTGGGCCCCCGAGCTGAGCAGAAGCGACCTGGATTTGCGCGACGACAGTGGCGACGAAGCATCCCCGACGGAAGAGTCGGAAGACGAGCGGCAGGTGGTGCAACTAATGGCGACTGCAGCGCCAACGCGCAACAAACGCAAGAACTTCAAGCCGCGGAACATCCTGTACTCGTTGGATGACGAAAACGAGCCCTCGGACGCGGCGGCCGCCGCCAACAAGAGCGCCAAACCGCTTGACCTGACCGACGGTCTGCTGCCCGCCAAGCGGAGGAGCACAATTCTGCCGAGGCGGGTTGAGCGGAGTCAGACGGAAGCTCGCAGCGACGCCATGGACCTGTCCGTGCGGCCTCAGGAGGACGACGAACCGCCGGCCGTTGACCTCAGCCACGACCCCAGAGCCATGCAGGAGGCCCTGATGGCGCAGCAATACGCGCAAATCCAGAGCCAACTGCACGCCCACCTGCAGACCTTCCAGCAACACCCTGAGTTGCTTCTTCAGCAGCGCCACACGACACCTGCGGACGCGTCTGCAATGAGGGAGTACGCTGAGAACACGATGAAGGAGCTGCTGGGCATCTACGGCCTCAACGACATGGCAGAGTCCATCACCAAACACGTGCCCATTGGCAACTTTTCCTCTGGTAAGTACCTGAATTTTTATTTAAAAAAATTCAAACCTGAAATTGAAATTTTTATAAAATATTTCGCAATTTTTGTTTCGATCCAACTGAAGTGAGACAGAAAATATCTCTCAATTATCGCAATTTCGATTACACGCGAACGAGTACCGCCGAAAGCAAGTGAATTCGCTGAGTATATTAATTGCAATTGAAAATGAAAAATTTTGTGGCGCGCAAGTGAATAAAAAAATCCACCACCTCCGGGATCGAGACGTATAAATTTCCGCACCGGCGCGCAATGCTCACGTACGCGCTCATATCTTAAAATTTCCCTCAAAACGGTGGCGAATGAATTGATAATTGGATTTTATCTTAATTGCTGGTGCTGCTGGCGGCTGATAAAGCGCGCACTCTCTCTCGATTGCGGTTATCCATTGCGCGGTTTCAATAATTTTCCGAGTGTATAAATTCTATAATTGGAGTTTGCGGCGGCAATTAAAAATTATTTTATCATCGGCACCACTGGCAGACGGGAGAGCTGCACCGGCAGTAAAGAGTTTTAATTTTATTATTATTGTGTGTGCCGTGCTTTATGAGTTCATTGCTGCCGCGCCGTGCTTTATTGATTCAATTGCTGATCAATATGCGAAAAATACCCCCGAGCGGCGAGTGCATTATTGAAACGGTACAGTACTAGTGCATATAGTCGCCCTCTGGATTAATCACTTTTTATATTAAATTCGCTCGGCCTCTCCGTGCATTTTTTTTTTTTAATTCCGACCACTCGTACAAAGGGAAAATTATGAAAAAAAAAATACGAGCATAAAAAATAGTCTGCATGCATGACTTTCATGTGTGTGTATTTCATAAATGAAAGGCCTAGTAGAACACATCTCTGATGGTGTTTGGATAAAAACATGTATATAAAAGCTCTGCTGCTCTCTCTATTTGGCGAATTGCATTTGCCAGATATGTATGAAATGCACACAAATATTTATATCAAACGTGAAACGGCATTGTGTGTACCAAACAAAAACAGAGCACTCCAAATAATGCATTAAATTGCATACAAGCAATTTTAAAATATATATTCGCTCGGACGAGTTTGGGATTTCGATGGCTATCTTGCAGTGCATTTGAACGCACCAGACCGGACAGAGCAATTTCCTGTACAAATTCGGTGTAATTGTGCCGAATTTGAATAATAAGTACATACAAGGAAACGAGACACGGCGTAAATTATTTTATGGATTTCTTTTATTTTTTTGCACTTTGGCCGGTCGTAAAACGTAAAAGGCCGTGTACGCGCTTTTATTTTTTTATTATTGAAAAACGCGCGCGCGCCACCCCTTTGAATCTGAGGCAAAAGAGGCTTTTTAAGTCGTAAAGTCGTCGCGTTTATCTCTTTCAATTTTACCAAACCGACTGGCCCGACCGTCTGCTGTTGATGGTATATAACTATCGGTCGGATACGCGCGCATAAAAAACCCTTTCCTCTCTTTCCGAGTCTCGCGCACAATTTGTATAAAAACTTACATTTTTACGACGCTCAAAAAGCTTTTCCGTATGTTGGCTTTTATATATTTATATCGCTCACGGTGTTATTCGATATCACATGTGCGTATTATGCTTTATAAAATTATTCATTCGGAGAAGCGGGGAAAAAACAGTCGCAGACGAAACTAGTGTTAAAATAAAATGAGAGAGTCCGAGTGAGAGGATTAACAAAAGTTAACTCCTTTTCATTTGAATGCAGCTGTTTGATATTATTATTATCCAGCCGAGAGAGACAAAAAGCGAAAGAAAAACCGGTACGCAGAATTATATTTTATATTTAATGTATTTCCTCCTCCCTCTTGATGCATACGTGTGTAATTTGATCTGGAAATTTATAAAAAAAAAAAAATCCAATTATAATCTCTTTCACCAAATCGGACGCCACCGTAAATCAAACGCGTCGCAAATATGCAAATGCACATTACGCGTATATGAATTTATGTTAACCAGGAGAGGGGAGGTGCATATATGCATACATCCATATCAGAGGTTGCACTCAGACAGTCGGACTAACCACAAGGCAAACACACTCATCTCTCTCTACCCGGGTGCAGGCGCAGGGTTCGATGCACAAAGCAGCGTAAATCATTGCATGTGCATATTATTCTCATTATGCAATTCAATAATCAGCACTGGCGTGTGTTTGGTTTGGGCTGCCGAGAGTACACTCTGGAAATCATTAGCCCAGCGGCGGCTGTGCTGGTGCACGGCTCGCAGGCTAATTTATTGAATTAGAGGGAGAGAGAGCTGGATGCACCAATAGGCAGGCGCATCTCGTGACAATCCCTTGTTGATCAACTACGTATATATCCAGCTATGGAGCACTCGCACAAATCAATATTGTGTACACTCAATTGTCACGAACTGCTGACATACAATTAGCAAAATATATATAAACTTAGTTTAAATATAATTTTTGATATCAATTAATTATTATTTGTCCAATTGCTACATAAATAATTATTTCACTTTTATTCGCATTCAAATTGTGAAAATACTAATTATTAAAAGAAAATACTATCATCTGAAATTAAAATTTAAAATTCTTCTTTGAATAAGTTGACACTCGTTGGAAATGTAGAAATCGGGTTTTTTCCTCGTTGTAAAAAATTGTTTTTTTTTTAACAAATGAGCAAGAAAAAAATCTGAAAATTTTAAAATACACCGCATTTAACATGAAAACTAAATTATTAAAACTAACAAATTTAAGTTGAAATTCAATTGAGCCATTTGTTTTTGAATAAAAAGAATTTTTACAACGAGGAAAAAGCCCGATTTCTTCATTTCTTAAAATTTAAAATACTTGCAAAGGACATTTTATTAATGCTGGAAAGGTAAAAGATTGTGCGCAGCTGCGCGAGTCCAGCAGAAAATGAATTCTAATGCGACTTTCGGTGGTAGGGAGTGAGCAAGAAGAATTAATATAGCCACGGTTTTTGCTCTGGCAAAAACATTTTGACTTGAAATAATAGCAATTCCCACCCAGTCACGAAATGGAATCATTAATATCACACGAGGCCAGCTAGCTCTCCTGTTCCCCCCACGATATTGATAACTATTAATCATCGCCGAAAATTCCACCTTTCCGTTGAAAATAATATAAAAGAAGGGCGTGGCCGGCTAGATTTCACAATCAGATAAAGAGTGCACGCCGCATTTTGGAATTTAGAATAAAAAAAATAAATCCATTCGAAAAGGATTTTGTGTATATCAGGCGTGTGTGTGTGTGCACAAGTAGCGTTTTAATGTGAAAAGGGAAATCTTGTATCATTTATAAGTGCCACTCACGACTTTTTGTCTTAAATACCGCGCGCCTCTTTCTCTCTCGTAAAGTAAAAAGAAGAGACTCGCGTCGGGAGATGCTGGCCCGGGAGACAGATGAATCTCCACAAAGCTTTTGTGTAACGTGGAATTTTAATACATTTAAAATATTCATCAATCTTTCACGGAGCCCCGAGACAGAGAATCTGGCCTCTGGTTGAAGGAATAAACTTGAAAAATGGCGCTTTTTGTATTTGAGGCATGAAACTTGATGGAAAATGTGCGATTTTTAATTCGAGGCACGCCTGATGGATATTTTTTCGTACACACCTCTTTACTTCAAATGTATCGAGGAATATTTTATTAGTATACCATCCATTATTATTGCTGGCTTGCAATTTCCTCCCGTGCGTGGTATATCACCAAAGACATGATCAGCATAATTGAATTCCTGTCAAAGTTAACAATTATTATCCCACACATAAAGCAAGCAGCAGACTGAATTTTTTTTTATATTCCTCTCTGTCTTGAGAGAGCGCAGAATGCGCTGATTCCCGATTTTCGCAATTCTGTACAAACTCGCGATGACAAAAATTTTATTTTATTTTCGCACCTCAAATCAACCGTCAGCAGAAAATTTATGCTTTCTTTCTCTTTTCGCGCGTAACAAGCAGCGAATTTCCGCTGTTTATGCAAATTTTTGCATAATGACTCTCGAACCGGCGAAAGAAATAGATAATTTACACAACTCAAGCCGAATCATTATCCAACTTATTCCAACTACTTGAGTGTGTAATTTCACGGCAATACTTATATTCGCCTTCAAATGTGAAGATAAAAAAAAAATCTCCTCATAGTAACGAGAAACGGCAGCTTTTCGCATTAATGCGCCGCGCAATAAATGATAATCCGCGTCAATTATACGTTCGGTTCTGCAATTATTTTCCCAGACCACTTTAGTTATTGGAAAAGGCAGGTGTGTTTGTAGACGCGAGGCGCGGAGAAATAAAAATATGTGTCAATTTGCGGGGAAATTGACTGGCGCTTCTCGGTGAACAACCGCAGAATGCAGGTGCTTGTTATGCGCCGAAATGTTGTCGTCTGCTTTTTTTTCATCACTTGTGCACCCTCATCTGACAAATTTGATGTAAATTATTGTTCGAGGAGAGTGTTTGTGCGGCACACTTTTTGCCTGTGTGTGGCTCAGCAATCACCAAGAAAGACACGCAGTCATCGAGGGGCTTGGCCGCGTCTACTTTATCGCCACTGCCAAAAATTTAGAGTAACTGATTTATTGTTTATTATATTTTTAACTGTAGCAAAAAAATATTCTATTAAAATTAGATTAACTATTTTTTTTTTTTTTTTATGAGTAATAATACAAATCTTTTTTAACACATTTTATCATTTCGCTGTTTTTTTTTTTTAATTTCTAATGAAAATAAAATTCCGTTTCTAAATTCAGTCTTGCAATAAAATGAGAAAATATTGCATCCTAGTCAATAAATAAAATTATATAAAATACTTCATTCCTCTGAATTTGAAGGATATTTGAGATATCAAATTAGAGCGATGCGAAGTTAAATGCGTGCATGTTAATTACAATATTGAATTATATTATTAATAATACTATAATGAAATAAGTCCAATTGTTAAATCGCATTGTAAAATTAAATTTTCCACAACATTTTCTTGGTATGTGA